GAGGTTGTTATTGCCCATTTTGTGTTCAATATGTTTGGCAAAAACATGCAGAGCTTAACATGGAGACGTACCCATTGGCAGCCAAAGCAGTGTTGGAGCACTGCTACATGGATGATCTCATGCCTTCGGCACCTACAGTAGAAGAAGTTAAAGAAACGAGGAAGCAGCTGAGCGAATTAGGTGACAAGGCAGGATTCCACATTCGAAAGTGGGTATCAAACGATGTTGATGTAATTGCTGATATAAAGGAAGAAGACAGAGCTTCTGAGAGAGATTTGGAGAAGAGAGAGTTGCCGACAACCAAGACCCTAGGTGTTCTGTGGAGGGCAACAGATGACAAATTCTTCTTTCGGCACTCCTTGCAGCTGGATGGATTTGAATTCACCAAAAGAACTGTTTTAAAGAAAACAGCTACCGTGTACGACCCACTAGGTTTCTTGTCACCTTACACGATCAGATCAAAGTTATTGATGCAGAAAGCATGGCTAGGAGTAGGGGCATGGGATGATTTGTTGCCAAAACATCACCAGCAAGAATGGATTAAGTGGTTTCAGGAGTTGAATGACCTTGAGTTAGTGAAAATCCCGAGGTGTTTGAAAGATCCTGGGGCTAGTGTGGTAGAGTTGCGCATCCATACATTCAACGACGCCTCCGAAAGCGCATATGCAGCTGCAGTCTACGCACGTCATGTCTATGAGAATGGTGATGTTACTGTTCGATTGATTGCATCAAAGTCCAGGCTTGCACCGTTGAAAGCTGTTAGCATCCCCAGACTGGAGCTCCTAGGTGCGCTCATCGGTACACGACTGACAATGCAAATTTGCTCAGCTCTCAAGATAGCCACACACGAAGTGACATACTGGGTGGACAGTGTAAACGTGGGATACTGGATCCGAAGTCAAAGCAGAGTGGGGGAGATCCACGAGTGTTCAGCTCCAAATCAGTGGCGCTATGTACCCACTAAGGTAAACCCAGCGGACCATGGAACGAGAGGCCTGACAGTGAAAGAATTAGCAGACACAAGTCAGTGGTGGAATGGACCTGAGTTCCTAAAGAGGTCAGAAGAAGAGTGGCCTGAGTGCAAGTTCGATGCGCCAACGTCTGAAGAGAGTCTTGAGTTGAAAAGAGGAAAGGACGTGTCAGCAAAGGAGACTTGTAGCTATGAAATTACCAGGGGAGGAGAAAAGAATCCTGGCGGCGACAATGCCAGAGAGGAAGGAGTTTGGCGGTTAAATCCCTCAAGATATTCAAAATGGTATCGGGTTAAACAGAAAGGAGAACTGGAACTTGGCTTGTCTCTCGTAAGAGTGAGAGCCTGGGTACACCGATTTACTGCAAACTGTAGGAGACCAGCCGATCAAAGATTGAAGGGCGAACTTACGCCACTGGAGCTTCAAGATGCCGAAGAAGCTATTATTAAGGAAGTGCAGACAGAGGCATATGCAGCAGAGATGGATGCGCTGAGAAGAAACACGCAGATCTCAAGACGAAGTACACTGGCACCGCTGAACCCGGTATTGGTTGATGGAATTGTGAGATCAAACACAAGATTGCAACATGCCGATAATCTTCCCTACAAGGTGAAGTGTCCAATCATTCTGCCGAAGAGGAATCAAGTAACAGGACTGATCGCAAGTACTACCATGAATCAGAAGGTCATCGGATGGGGCTTAACTATACCATCAATCACCTGCGCACGAAATATTTTGTGGTCCATGCACGGGAACAAGTTAAAAGGGTAATGAGAGAGTGTTTGGAGTGTGCAAAGCGATTTCGGTCGAGGCCAGCTTGTCAGCAGATGGCACCATTACCAAGGATCAGACTACAGCAGTCATCTAGACCCTTTACCAACTGTGCAGTTGATTTTGGGGGACCCTACTTGACCAAGCAAGGACGGGGCAGAGTACGAGCAAAGCGATATTTGTATTTATTCCTCTGTCTACAGACACACTGCTGCCACCTGGGCTAGCCTCGTCCTTGGACACTGACGCATTTCTCAATGCATTTGTACGTATGACAGCTAGGAGGGGATGGCCTCACCAGATGTTAAGTGATAGTGGGACAAACTTTGTAGGCGCGTCAAATGAGCTAAAGGACTTAGTCTCAACAATTGACCAAGACAAGATACAACGAATGACCTCCAACAAGGGTGTGACGTGGAAATGGAATCCACCAGATGGGCCGCATTTTGGCGGAGTTTTCGAGTCAATGATTAAGTCGGCTAAACGTGCAATAGCTGCTGTACTCGGTGACGCAGAAGTAAACGATGAAGAGTTAGAGACCATTTTCATCGGAGTGGAAAGCATACTTAATTCAAGACCTCTTACAACTGTAAGTGACGACCCAAATGACGACCTGGTATTGACTCCGAACCATTTCATAATTGGACAGATGGGGGGCGATTTTGTGCCTGAGGTTGTCGATGACGCACCTTTCAACCCAAGGAAGCGTTGGCGGAGAGTCCAAGAGCTTACGAGACACGTTTGGCAACGGTGTATGCGAGAGTATTTGCCACATGTTGGATCGAGACCAAAGTGGTTCTTCTCTGCAGATAACATTAAAGTCGGAGAGGTTGTTGTCGTCATTGACCCTTCTGCTGCCAGACGGAATTGGAAAGTAGGACGCATCGAGCAGACGTATCCAGGTCCTGATGGACTTGTGCGAGTGGTGAATGTACGAGTCAAGGACAAGGTCTTAAAGCGACCTATCACCAGAATCTCTCCTCTTGAGATTCAAGACATTTAAGATGACATTTAAGACACAAAGAATCTTGTCGGTTGATTTCTAGTTTCGACCTAAGGACAATTTCAGAACAGTTGCATGTACAGTTTTGTAATTTTCGAATTACAGATCCCCTCTGCAATTCGGGAGGGGAAGAAATGTTGTTACCGTTTTATAG